GTCTGCAGTTGCATAAGCGCAATAGGCGTATGTATACACGTCGATACGTGCCAATTGCTCGGTGATATACGCTTCAGTTAGTGTACGAACTGACAAAACTGACGTGAAACAAATTGCCGAGGCTCTTCCAATATGCAGAATGCAGAGCGGAATGTTTGGTTCGTCTCGTTTGTGTAAAACTTGTATGGGAATCTTACCGACAACGGAAAACGAAATGGTTTGCCTAGGGAAACGCGTGTAACGATATCGCGGTACACAACGTCCAATCGAGTTGCACGTTTTACGTAATAATACTGTTAGAGATGTTGTCTCGTTGAAGACAAATTGGATCGGTCACAGACGAACCTATTAAAATCGACCTCACGAATGCTCGCTGCTATCGGGATTTCTTTTTTCCTCGGTGGGAAATTGTAAGTGTAAGCAGAAGGCAGAGTAGTAAAAGTTGGAAAATAGAATGAGAGAGAAGGAGGAGCGCGAAGAGGAAGACGGCCGATTCGATTGGGAAAGAAAAGGGAGACACAGCGGCTGTGAATCAAAGGAAAGGAAGAGAGGTGGAGCGATGGTGAGATGGAAGGGGACGGGGTCGTAGGGTAGAACAGAGAGGAGAACGGAAGCGCGCAGGCGTGAGGCTAACGCGATGATAGTTAAGCATCCGCGTGGCGCGAGTTAGAAGTTGGCTTCGCGCGCTCTTAGTCTCGTTTTGGTCCCTCAGTCCTGCAGGCCAGACGCTAAAAGGCGAGTCTAAAAGGAGAGAGAGAGAGAGGAAAGACCGGAAGGTGGTGGTGTGTTACGATGAGGGCCCGTCCTCCTCGTGTCCTGGCTGATCGTGCGAGACGCGTTACTTGGTAGCGCGCACCGTCTCTATACGCAGTCCGCGAGTAACGCGTTCGATGGAACGTGTACGACACCGGAAGCTAACGCACCGGCGGACATGTCCGAGGAGAAGAGTAACGAGATCGTCGAGCAGAAGGTGACGATTGGGAAAAAGAGGAACAGCACCGCGCAGAGGCGATGGCGAATTCTGGCGAAGGCGTTGATCGGCTCGCAGGAACCGATCTCGATCGACACGGGGGGTGACGAGGTTTCGGTTCGCCGGTTCACCAGCTTCAATCTGCTGAGGGTCGGCCGCGTGGAGAATGGGACTACGGAGCCGGAGTTTGCCACCTGGTACGAGTACTCGACCATTCTGGAAAACAAGCTGTTCACCGTGCAAATACGCCGACTGAACAAGAATTTCACAGCGAGCGAACTGATCGGGTTCAACAATACCGGAAACATCTGCGTCTGGCCGTCGGAGGAATGTTTGGCCTACTATCTGCTGAAGAACCAGCAGCTCTGTCGAAACAGACGAGTCCTCGAGCTAGGCGGTGGCATGAGCTGCTTGGCAGGCGTGATTGCCGCCAAGTACTGCCAGCCGAGAGGAGTCGCGTTGACCGATGGTAACGTGACCAGCGTGAACAACGTCAGATGCATCGTGGTGAGGAACGGCATGGCCGATTTCGTGGAGTGCGGCGTCGTTCAATGGGCGAAAGCGGCCAGGGCGATCCGTAGATCGCTCGTCTTCCCTCGCTCCCACCCGCACAATACCCTCCGAGTCAAGGTGAATTCATGTTTCGCCCTCGCTATCGTTCCCTTCCGTTCCCCTATCTACTTACCTACCTGTTATGTTTCCAATTCTTTTTACCGCCGAATCGGTCCGAAATGCTTCGAACAAGCTCCGGAAAAGCTCCTCTCAACTTTCAGCGTAATCCTAGGAATTTCTGAATTGAATTTTTACCGGTAGAACTGGAGCAACTATGAGGGCGGCGGTGAGGACGGCGATAGCGGGAACGGCAAGGAGCTTGGAAAATTGGCGGGAAAACTGTACGACGTGATCCTGTGCGCGGACTGTCTGTTCTTCGACGAGGCCCGTTCCGACTTGGTGGAAACGATCTATAGTTGGCTGAGCAACGATGGGATCGCATTGGTGATGGCGCCTAGAAGAGGCTCGACCTTCCAGAAATTCGCGGAAGCGGCAGTGAAACGAGGTTTCTTCGCACGACAGATAGACCGTTACGATGGCAAGATTTGGTCGAGGCATCTCGAGTTGCTGGAGCACAGCCAAGAGTATTGTCCAGACCTTCATTATCCGATCCTTCTAGAGTTGAGCAAGGAAAAGAAAACGCCACCCGGATGATTACCATTCGGACACCACACAGTTCTTTTTCCCCTCCCGACCTTACTTCCTCCCTTACCCTTCGACGATGCAACCTTCTATCCGTTTCGCCTTTAAACACCAGTATACATATGTATACCTTTGGCTCGTACAGTCGCGAATCATAGTATTTCAAGTACCTGATCTTATTGTTAGTAGACTGATCAAATTCGAATCTTCGATCCTCGCGTAATCTCGACGGTTTACTTTTTCAACAATAGCAAAGGAATTTTCTTTCACTTTCCTTTCTTCTCTCTGTTTAGACGTTCAACGAACCACGTTTCTCCATTCTAGTCGAATCAGTGAAAAGAGAAGATTTATCGTAGTAAAGAGCAACACCGTATACGTGTAATACGTGTCCAACAGAGGGTCCAAAATGCCACGATAGCAAATATCGACAGGATTTTTCTACCAGCCCGCTCGTTTCTTTCTCCTCTTCTTCTTCTTCTTTCTCGAAACAAGCATCATTATCTTCCCAATCTTTATATGTAAGCACATGTGTATTTATGTACAACTCGTTTGGAAAAGAGCTATAAGAGCGTTTATGCAGATTTCTAACTTGCAAGCGATAGATTTCTAGCATTGTTCGCAAAATAAACGCCGAGGAAATGCCGCGATACACGCGAATCGTGGAAAATTCTACTTCCTCACCATTCGTTCGTTCGTTCGTTCGTTCGTTCGTTTATTTATTCGTTCGTTCGTTCGTTCGTTCGTTTATTTATTTATTTATCCATCTATCTATCTATCTATCTATCTATCTATCTATCTATCTATCTATCTATCTATCTATCTATCTATCTATCTATCTATCTATCTATCTATCTATCTATCTATCTATCTATCTATCTATCTATCTATCTATCTATCTATCTATCTATCTATCTATCTATCTATCTATCTATCTATCTATCTATCTATCTATCTATCTATCTATCTATCTATCTATCTATCTATCTATCTATCTATCTATCTATCTATCTATCTATCTATCTATCTATCTATCTATCTATCTATCTATCTATCTATCTATCTATCTATCTATCTATCTATCTATCTATCTATCTATCTCAGAGATATGTAAGAGAATATAAAAACGAATAATAAAATATTTTCACTTAACTATGACAACGAGGCGTTTAGCGATCGATAGCTTAAACGCTTAATTGAAAACTGTCTCGTCGGTTAGATCTTAGCGATTTGCCACGTCTTGTTTATCGCGTAATTTCCATCCATCCGTCCTTATACATATATGTATGTACACGCGCTGCCTTTCCATCCACGCTATACAATGCAAACGACTCTCGCTTCTCCGTTCTCTTCCCTTCTCGCAAACTTTCCACCCTCTCCGTTTTCGATTTTTCCCTACGTAATCGTAGTTCCCTCCAACTATCCCCTTGTATCAACCACGAGTCCTTGCCACATTTTCAATCGTTTCGGTTTAAAAAACCTTTGGAAATCTACTCGTATTATTATAATAGTAGCTACTTACATAGTAGATATGTATTTACCGACTCTCCCCTATCTAGCAACTCGCGTATCGCGTTTTCATTCATCTATTAACCATTGCTGATAATCTTGGTTGTCACGTGAAACACGATCACCGTGACATTTCGTTAATCACCAGTTTAACGAAAGCTAAATCGAAGAAGCCGTGTCGATAGACGGCGTGCATCGAATATC